TAGGTACAATCATGTTTGAGCGACCATGAGGACTCTGAAGGTTTTGTAGAACTTGTGTTTTGAGAGTAAGTGTCATACTCCAATTTTATCCCACCATTTATCCATTCTTTTTAACTCAGTGCATTTCATCTCTGGCATTTTTTAAGCCTATATCAGGTTGGAACTTAGGGACAATCTAATCATGATTTCTTATTGCATTATATTATGTCATTCATAAACTATCACATTTGCATTCATATTCCTTTGCATCATCATCCATAATAAGTCATTAGTTTTAGGGGCCCATAACCATTGTCATTCATATTTGGACTTTGCATATCATTTTTCTTTAATCGGAAATTTAAAGCTCATTAGGGCTAGTGCTTTTCCTTTTATTAAAATTTGCACGTGATTATAGTTTTTGCGTTTAGTTTATGGCTTCATTTGAATTTCTATGTCACTTTCACTCATACTTTTTTTTATACATTTTCTAAAGACAATGCATTCATCATGTCATTTTTGCATTCACCATTTTATGTCCTTGTACATTGTGAATAAAGAAATTTGCCTTTGAATGTGAGGTATAATCTCATACATACATAAATAAATTTATACATTAATTAAAAATAAAAAATAGTATTAAAAATAAAATAAAAAATAGATTGAGAATTGAGGTTGGTATGTTAGTACAAGAGTCCCTTGTCTCTTTTGTACTACCATGTCATGCCATCTTCCTATGTATATCACCTTGCATCATTACATGAAAAAAATTAATAATTTTAAAAAAGGAAGAAGAAGTGAGTTAGCAAACACAAGTTCATTGCTGCAACCAACACTCACAATATTACCAACATAACATCAATATTCACACACATTCACAACAACACACACTCAATTCATGATTCATCAACATTCATACACCAACATCATAACATATACATCATAACATAAATTAAAATTTAAAATAATAAAAAGAAAGAAGAAGAGGCAAGCATGGAATTAGTGACACACGAGTTTGTTACTGCAACTCATACACATCCATCATCAGTTTAAAATTCATCAACAACATACATAACATCACACATTTATACATATTTGAAATGAATTAAAAAAGAGAAACAAAAGAAATCAAATGCCAACCTCCTGCACACTCATCACTTAGCATCATATCATGTATAATGTTTCAATTCACCATCCCATACATACCCCCTCATTCCAATCCACTCTCAGATCACACAACTCTTCACACTTCTCACGCGGATCGTCAACTTTCCCCCTAAAAATCATCATAACAAACTCGTTTCCACCTCAATTTACAATTTCACTCCTATAAATAATGAAACTCTCTGCTCACTTATACACAAGAAAAATCCTATCAAATCCCTAATGAAATCAAACCCTTCACTCAAAAACGCTCTCAGAGAAACTAAGCTCCTTAAGTTTTCCATTGAAGCTTAAGGAAGCTTGAGATAGCCCTAGTCAAACTTCATTCACTCACTGAAGTAGAACATGAGGGAACAGAGATGGCAACATCATCACCTTTTAATTTGTATTTGGCTTCAGCATCCACCATGGGCAACTTTGGCCAATTAGGACAACCACTAGGAGGTATGGGATATTTCCCTTTCTGGGGTGCTTTGTCCTTAACCAATAACTCTCTCCAAGTTATGAGACAATTAATGGATGAAAGAAACCATGATATGGCTCACACTATTATAAAGCAGATAAGAAACCATGATATGGCTCACACTATTATAAAGCAGATAGAAAGCACAAATATGAGTTATCAACAGTTAACCCACCAAATGGGTTGGATTGTTGTTTTTTTGGGGCAGCACCAATGCCACTAGCTTCAGGGCCTAACATTCCTCAAGGGACTAAGCCCTCAAAAAATAGGGTTGTTGAAAAAAATCAAAGACCAGAAGGCATGGATATGGTCCTAATGCAGCGCAACAAATATGCTGACCAAGTCCTAAGACAAGCCCGACAAGACAATGTAAGGGTACATGATAATATCACCACCGTCATCGAACGTGTTTTCATCTAGAATGTCCTCAGCGTAAGCCTCCATAGGCTAGGGCTGAAGATAACAAACCAAACCACAAGGATCAAGCAAAGGCCTATCTCAAAGCTGAAGAGGACCTGGTCGATTTTTAAATCATTGCAGATTGAAAGATTCAGAGGTAATGTTGTGTCCTAGGTGCAGCTTTGTGTTTGACAAATAAGCTACTAAAGAGCCCAAGAGGGAAAACCCTTACCAAGCCAAAAAGTTTGTCTGACAGGATAAACCCAAGGAACTTTTCTCCAACAAAGGAAAATACGCAGCAAAGTTCCAAGGTAGAACTTATGTCCCTACTGCAGATACATCTCTTAGAAAATGGCTACGCCCTGCTTAGAAAGTAGAAACTGGTGGGGGAAAATGGAAAATAGTGAATGTTGATTATGGTTCCTCATACAGATAAAACTCTCAACTTTCTAAGAAATGCTCTTATTTCTTGTAGAACTATATGGAAAAAACCCATGACCACAACTCAATGGAGGAGACACTAGAGAAACATGAAAGTTGCAAGAGAGACTGGAATATAAGTGATTGAGGAAGAAGGACTTGATGAAGAACTATCTACCCATAAACCTATGTGCTATCATGTAATGAATGAAAGCTCAGTGAATAAAGACCATACCATTTTTGAAAGGCCAGACATAGCCATGCAACAAGACCTAAAGCCTTTGTATATAAGGGCCAATGTTGATGACGTAGGGATTAATAAAGTTTTGATCGACTGTTGGGCATGCGTCAATGTTATGTCGTAGTCCCTCTTGGAAAAAAAATAGGAAAATTTACCATAGATATTGCATTTAATAACATGGTATTGTCCAACTATGATAGAAAAATTAGCAAACCCTTAGGGGTTATTCAAGTCGACATAGTGGTTAGGACTACCATATTGGTGTCGAAGGCCTTTTAGTTTCTCATTCAAAGGAAAAGTAATGAGTGGAAGTTGGTTTTGACGTAGGAAAATGGGAGAAATGATTTAAATCCTTGAAAAATATGGCGCATAAAGGCGCCATCATCACGTCAGGAGGAGACTGACATGTAGCTGATTCGACAGGAGACAATGATGGCGCAGACAACTGCTACATGTCTAAAAAACACCAAGTCTCTCAGTCGACAAGATCCTCCGTCGAGACTTGGGTTTTGGTGGGGCATCTTATTGGCTGAAAAGAGTCAACTAAAAGCATTGACAGCAAAGGGGTAGAAATCGACAGGAAGTAGGAAGAACGTCCCAAGTCGACAGTGCTTGTTGTTTGGGAAAATCCAATAAAATTTATTGGCAGCAAAGTGACGAAGTCGACGAGACTCAAGAGGACGCATCCTAAGTCGACAACACAGGAAAAGGTGCATGGTCGACTGAGACATGGGCTGGTCGACCAAGACGACAAAAGGGGCAGCTGGCAAATGGGTTTGTTTCCTGGAGGGAAATAAATTTGAAAAAGGAGAACATGAGGGAAGTTACAAAAGTAGTGACCCGACACGTGGCGGCACCAGGGACAATCTGACAGTTATTTCACTTGCCTATATAAAGCAAAGCTTGGCTTCAAGAAAGGGGCATTTTTTGTCAGCATTGTAAGAAAAATACTCTGAGTATCACGCACATAGAGAAAAGAGTTCCCCATTCCTTACAAAATGTACGAATACGCCCATTTGTATTTACCAGTTTAAGTTAAATTTACCAAGTTTCTATGTTATGAAAACAACATCTTTATTTTTATGTCAGTTCTTTACTTTCTTTTCGTTTTATTAGAAGCATCGTTGTATTTGTTTACATAAACTTCATCGTCTACGCATTCAAAAACTGTCAATTGTATCACAAATTCAGAGTACATCACGAATTCACGCACCCAGAACCAAGAGTTCTGGGACTAGTTTGGCCGGTTCCGCAAGTAGACCCGCGTCGGGAAGTTAGAGGTTGTTCGCACGAAAAACTCGTGCGAACACATACATGGGATCAAAGATCACAAAATTTCATACATACTCTCCATACCACGAGAGTATCCAAGTCAAAGAGCGAAACAGTTGAGCGAGAAACATGTATGTGTTTGCGTCCATTCTTTTTTATTAGTCTTTTTGTTTCCTTAAACGAGACTTGTACTTTTACCTTTGTTTTAATTAATGTCATTTATTGTATTTTACCTTATCGTTTATCATAATCTCACTTCATTTAAAATCTTTTTCTATGTTGTTATCGTTCGCACGATGACTACAATTAATTCGCACGCACGCGTGTTCACACAAGTTATTTGCATAAATTACTTTAGAGATTTTTCGAGTTAATCTCACCGACTTTTAAACTTGTAATTATTTACCAAAACCAATGGTAAAAAATGCTTATGCTTTAAGAATGGTGATCCTATGTTAGATATCTACACAAATGTAAATATAATTGATAATATTGATTAAAAAAAAAAAACCTACTTCAAATACATGATAACTTTTGCATTGAGAGGTTATATATATATTTTTAGTCAAAGATAGGTTTTATCGTAAGTAATGACAATCTCTTTATATAAAGAAAGATGTTGAACCACAATGCACATTTTGCTACAATGTATCAAATAAATATTTAGATGGACAAAACCTCATTGTACTGATAACTAAGAAAAACATACATTGAGTAAAAATATTTTACAGAAATACAAAATGTTGAATCCACGTTCATCATCGCCTTTTTTTTTTTTAAAATCACACCTTTTTCGCACTAGAATAAACTAGTCTTGGTACTCATTAAGTTTACAATCTCACACATTATATAATATATATTATTATATTATAAACACATTAATATTATCGTATTAATACATATTATATATAAGATTTATATTTGTAATTTTTTTTACATAATTAAGTTTACATATTATTGTACTCATTAAGTTTACATATTATTGTCCATGTCATTATTATGTGATACTTAGGTAAACTTCTTAAACATCAAATCTCTCAAACATCTCAAACATTTTAAATTTTAAATTCTTTCTCTTCGATCAGGTTCACTTCCTTTGTCTTTTCCACCTCCATTTTGTTCACCCACACCTTGTGCACCTCCTCCTGAGACCGATCCACCTGAGCTTGGTCCACCTTTTTTACCTTCTCCAACAGCCTTCCCATATCCTCCTCGATTTCTCTTGTTGGTCCAGCCACCAGTAAAGACTGCCCGTTCACGTATCTCAATTTTCGGTTTGAATTCTTCAGTTGCACCATCTATTAATCAACAAATAACTTTTATTAATTAAATATAACAAAATAAGAAAGATATTTTATGTTCAATTAAGATATATACATTGGTTTTCATCTTTAGAAGGCTCAATTGCTATAATAGAAATAATAATTAATGCATAAAGAAAGAACACGAATATAAAAAGCTTGTTCTTCATTCTTGATCAAGTAAGAGTTTATTGTAGTAAAATATGAATATAATGTGCAACTATTTATATTGATCTTCATAAGACATAAAAGATTATAATTAGAGATTGATTGAATACTATATTACACTGTAAAAAAGATAGTATATATTTATTTGGCTGTTGTGAGAGTCATTATTACCTATTCAACCATTGAAGGATTAAATTGGGACTTGTTTATTAAACAAGGTAAGAATGTTTTTCACACAATGACAATTAAAAGTCATTAGGATGCTTCTTTGATCTTTAATATTGCTCTAGCTAATTGTAAAAATATAATAGTAATTAACAAGAAATTAAGGTTGTTAAATTTTATGAGTTCAATAAGATTATGATTTTAGATAAATTATCATGAGCTCAAGTAAACTTTAATAAAATGTGTAACTCTCAATTATACTAGAGAGTTTATGAGAATCAATATGAAAGTTTATTATTTTTCATTTATTTTTAATAATTGTTATATTAAAAGTTTAGATTGTTTTCTTTTAAAGTTGTATAATGTTTTTTATTTTTAAATATGTGGTTATGAAATTTTACTTTTTTATTGGATTTTTTTAGTGTAATGGTCCATCTTCATAGGTTTAGGTATAGATAATAATAGGGAATTGTTTAATCACTTTATGGTTTATTAGCACACTTCGTGAAAATACAATAATATTGTCAGATATCGGAGATGCATCTTCGAATGCATTCCAAATCAATACATATCTGAATCAGATCCTAAGTCAGTGGAAAAAATGGAAATGCATCTCCATGTAACTTACGAAGATGCATCTCCATGTAACTTAGAGAGATGCATCTTCGGACGTTATTTGTTCAAAAATGTGCCAGAACCCTTTCTCCTTCCTCAATTCTAAAAAAACACTTTCAAAGCTCTCAAATTCTCTCAACTCACATTATCGCAAAATCATCCAAACAATTCCAAAGCTTCTTCCATCAAAATCAAGTCCATCGATGAGCTCATTCAACACCGAAATAAATTCACAATTTAAATTTGTAAGTTTTTGATTTTTCTAAATGTTCTTTAGATTTTGTATAAATTGATGATTATGAAATAGATATTTCATACATGTTTGACAATTCATACATGATGAGAAAAGTGTTTAATAGGTTTTTTTTATTGATCAATGCATTATTTTTGTTGTTTTGGAGATTGCATTACCGCCATTGACGCTGATGAGAATTGCAGAAAATTCCAGAGAAACATCTTAGCAATTTTCCAAAGTTTTGATTCCTAGAAATCGAATATGCATTTTCGAAGTTTTTCAGTTTGCATTTTATATTTACTTTTTTTTTTCTTGTACTCATTGTGTAACACTTGTGTGGTTTACTTATAGACCTTATGGATGATAGGGAAGATCGAAGGAGGCACTGCAGGATTGCACAACATGCATCTATTCGGATGGAAAAGAGTCAACCATTGTAGGCTCCTGTTACCTATAGCTTGGTTGATGATGATACGTCGGCTTCTGGGGCTCGTGTATCTCTACCTTCTTTTTCCCGTAGGAGACACGTGTCACCTACTCATGCATCCTTACCTCCATCTTCCTGTAGGCGAAATGTTTCACGTATTCAGCCATCCGAGGCAATAGAGGTACCAAATTCATTAAAGGTACCTCAGACACTAGAGGTACCTGAGGCACCCCATGCACATGCAAAAATAGAGGTATCTGAGGTAACCCAGGCCCAGAAGGCAGTAAAGGCACCGCATACACCACAAGGGTTTGTAGGAGGCCCTTCAGACTTGTCACTATTCTCTCTTTACTCGAAACATACTTCCAGACATGTCTGGGACAGAGAGGTAAAATTAGTTGTATTCATTCTTTTTAAACCATGTTACTTATAATATTAAAACTTTATAACAATAATTTAATTTTCTGTAGGACTATGATCCGCCTAAATTCATCAACCATGGGCAGAATATTATTGGGTTGTAGCATCCTAATGAGCCGTGGTTTCAGGATGTTTTGCGGATATATGGGATGAGAGACTTGTGCAAGACCGGTTATGGTACAATTAACCATGGTATACCTAATAAATTTGTAGAGAGATGGAACATGCAGACATCATCATTTCATCTTCTACATGGTGATATGTCTATCACATAGGATGATGTCTCGTGTCAGCTGCATCTTGCAATTAGGGGGAAACTTTTAGATCATGAAAAGATTAACAAAGATGATGCATTAGAGTTGATGGTAGACTATCTAGAATTTGACCTAAAGGCTACCGCAAGAGAGTTTGATGCCACTCGAGGGGCTATGCCAGTTTTTGATTCCTAGAGAAGGTGTATACAACTGAGCTACTTAGAGCATAATAGGCAGCTGGTGATGACAAGCAAGCGATACTTTGACAACTTTGTAAGGATCCAAGAGTACAACTGAGGGGTTGTTTATTTTCTCTACTTGTACTCTAAGTTATTCGAAGGTTGTATGTGGAAGACGAAATAGGTGACAAGCATCATCACATTATTGACACTAATATTTCTTTGTCTTTTACTGTTTGTGTACCATTTTCATAATACTTTTGCAACTCCATTATTAATGATCCATGTGTTCCCACACTTTTTAAACTTGGATCCTCCAACACTTCCCATGCATATTTGAATGGTCATGTCTATCGACCTATAATGAGGATATTCCACGTGTTGTTGCATTTGCTCTAATTAGAGGGAACCAGATGATATAACAGTTCATAGTGTATTTTGAGCGCTTGGTAGCAGAGGATATACACTTCTATTCATATGTCGGTAACCGTGAGACGCGCCCCTTTGATGACATTGGCTTATCCTCAGGATGGTTGGCTTGTGATTCATATCTGACGTATCCTCATCTACTTGAGTGCGTCATGCGGCAGTTCGACTGCATGCAATACATTCCCAGAAACCCTTTAGTGTCTGCTCCTCCCGCAATGACGCGTAGAGATATGGATGATATGTTTGATGATTATCTTAATCATCTGATATCAGATGAGGTGCGCGGTACTATAACCGAGAGTGACTGGAGCTACATAGATGGTTACATTTGGTAGTTATTCAGGGTATCACATCCTTATATGATACAAGATGATCCAAGAGATACATCGATGCCAACTCATCAGGAGATACTATAAGAGGATTTGGTTAGGGTCGATCATGTTGTTGATGTATTGTCTAGATGTTGCCGTATCACGGAGATTGGGCATGCCAGTATTGACAAGGGACTCTTTCTTGATGGTTCAGAGGCAAGGGAAGTTGTAGATGCCATGATGGCGGGGGCATGAGAGGCACAACAATATGAGGCAATGTAGGAATAGGGACTCTCGAGGCCGAGTCTGTCATACACAGTAGTTTATAGTATTTATACTTTTAATTTTTTTTCGGTTGTATTTTATTTTGACTTATTTTGATTTCATTGTGTACTCTGGATTTATTACTTTACATATGTCATTTTCTGCATATCCGTTATATGGTCTAATTTATCATAATATATATTTACTATATCGTCAATTTCATCTGAACATCACTAAACACAAACTTAAAATTTAGTATCTGGTCTGGAGATATATATATATATATATATATATATATATATATATATATATATATATATATATATATATATATATATATATATATATATATATATATATATATATATATGCATCTCTAGATTCTATTTGTTATGCATACGGAGATACATCTTTGGATTCTATTTGTTATGCATACAAAGATGCATCTTTGAAACAATCTATGATAAAAAAGGACGTTTTAGAGAGGAATATATAGGGTGTAAATTGAATTATTCTTGAAATGCATTTTTTATTTAATTTTTACAAAATATATTGAATGTGACTTAGTTTTAACATTTTAACTGAAGAAAATGACGCGTCCTAAAATACATCTCTGAAATCTGATAAATAATTTTAAATTTTCATAAGGAGATTTTTCATCACATATGATGTGGGGTTAATATTTCCCTAATAATATTATAATTTCTTTTCATTTAATTAATTCGGATGGCTAATCATAGAGTGATTTCAAAGTGAGTTTTACTCTTCTGGGGTGGATATGCAATTTGATTTTATCATTCATCCTAAAAGTGCAATGGAATTTTTTTTTCTTTTCATTTTTCCTCTCATTTCACATAGTATATTTTATTTCTATTTTTAGTTGTTTAATTTTCTTAGACTTTTGCTATCTATTTTATTTATTTTCTATTTTCATTAAAAAAAGCTTACACTTAAATAAACTAGTTTTTGTATAGTGAATCCTATTAAATCTACATACGTATCTTAATGTAAATTGTTCTTAATATATTTTTTTAGAAATCAAATTTTCTCAATTTCTTTGCTCCAATTCATGAGTTCTTTTATTCAATTTTTATTAAAACATTACTGATCTATCCTAGATCTATATGGTTAGGAATGATAATCATCACATTTTGTTAAAATGCTGCTCAAAATTTTAATTTTTTCAAGATCTTATTTTTGAAATAAAACCATATTTAGATTGAGATGTCATCATTTAGATCTTGGAAATTCGTGTATGATTTGTTGGTTTAGGTTTCGATTTATCTCATTTTCTCACATGAAGCACTTAGTTGTACTTGAATTTGGATGTGTTTTTGTGATTTTCACATTCTCACTCTAAATTAGGTCTGTTTCTTAATAATGCTGTTTCATTTTAATTTGGATATGATAGGTAATTATTTGTTAGAGTCGTCTCAACTTTTTTTTTTTGGTGATTATGTGTATATTAGTCAAAGTTTAATTATGAAAAATTAAACATAGGTTCTATCATATGGGAAATTAAGACTCAATGATAAATCAATGCGCAGCGGATATAAAATTTTCTCAAACTTGTACAAATTTCGAGGATTGAAAACAAATAGATGACGGAAAATCAAACAAATAAAGTCACAAAAGAACACCGATATTTTTAACGTGGAAAACCTCTCAATATGAGAGTTACAACCACGAGTCGTTCAGACCAA